CGACTTTTAGTTAGAGGCCAAACGCCCTAACCGTCCAGCTGCAGGCGTACTTGTGGTTCCCGTGCCGAATAATCACATTTGGTGTTTTTTTTTTACATAAGCACTAGAGACTGGTTCTTATTTTAAGAAATACTTAACGTTCCCGGATTCGAAAATAATTCAGTTTATAAATCGCCTTCTACTTATTTAGACTTCTCCTTCACAAAATCATCCCGGAACTCTGATCAAAGGGGATCTTCGATCGCTAAAGGCATGACCAGTGGCGTTGGACTGACGGCCCTCAAACATGACGTACGTTTTGTACTTTAAACTCTGTAAGAGCCGCACGATAAGGTTTTATGAATTTCGACATGCTAATATCCCCTGCGTGACAGATGGTAGGATTTCTTATAATGCGCAATTTGACTCTGACTGTACCTTCCGTCTAGGTGCACAAAAATACTGACAGAAAATTAATTTTTATGGTGACGTTTGGTTACAGCGAGAATGAAAGGTCAATTCTAAGTCCCTGCTCGATTATATAAACGCTGTAATTAATGACCAATTTTATTCCCCATGTCATGTACTGGCCTGACGATGAATGACCGAAAAGGATCGTTTGCCAACACGACTTTTCAATTGCTCTAGAATAGTCCACTGTAAACGTAGCTACGCTAACAGGAAACCGAAAAGCACATGTTCCTTAAATGGAAAAAAGAAAATACGCCCGTTGGTTTCAGCTGATGGAAAAAATGACACCAGCAAAAGTCGGCAACAGTTTCAAACCTAAGCAAAACTAAAATGTTTCTCAACAACAGAGGTTTCGTTAGATTTTAGCAGAAATAAACCATAACATTAGGAATTTCCCTCACCATATGCGAGAGATCCACCACTACCCCCGCTGAATGGAAACAACTGTAGGTTGCGCAACACTGACATAATTTTCTCGATCCACACTCATCACGTTTCCATGACGGAGCAAAACTCAAAAAGTAGGGGGTGGATGAAAGTCAGCGGTCGACTGTGTGAAATAGCCGTCCACGCTGGTTGTACACAATTTCATTAATAAATCCGAACCGTCGAGGCCTTATGTATGAGATTGAG